GAGAGTGAGGTGCAGTCGGTCACCCTAGTTGAGGCTGGGGGCTCAAGGCTGGCCTCCTCTATCGCAGAGCCTACAAGCAGCCCTCCCAGCTCCTTCCCAGTGCCACATTGCCTTTGGTGCAGCTCAGGTCCCGCTTGTTGCTGCTCTCTGCAGCTGGGACAGCACCACCAATACCGTCTAGGCCATTGCTGCTGATTCCAGGCAGGGCACTTACTGGTGCTCTGTCCCTGTCTCTCTGACACCCCCCCAAAACTTGTCTTGTGGTAGCTGGGCAGGATGGGTGCATGTGGGACAAGCATAGGGTGCAGAAGGGACTGGGACTGCCACGTACCTGGCTGTCCCCACCCTTTCTCCTGGCTGTACCACCATGAATGCCTGGTAACCCCATCTCTGTCTCTGTCTGTGTCTCTCCAGGATCTCACCTCAACACCAAACCACTGAACTCCACACACGTTCTGACACATACCTGGGAAGAGAAGAGGGGAAAGCAGAGAGTGGAGGGGAGCAGGGCTGGCTGTACATGTTTCTATAGGCTAATGGCATGATTTCTGTATGAGACATACTTACCGTCCTATCCGCATGACTGACTGACTGCAAGACGCATGAGCTACAGTACTTAAAACTGATGGAGGGGCCTCCGTCCCTGCCCCGCTGCTGCCAGGAGCCCAGAGACAGCAGCACGCACCAGGGGCATCCTCTCAGTTCCTCTGGGAGGCAAGAGTAGGACTGGCAGAAAACAAGCGGGAAGGAGACTCCACCCTTGCACATTCGCGTGTGTAAATGCATCCCTGTGCCCGTGCTCCAGCTGCAAGAGGGAAGCTGGGGCAGCACGGCACTGCTCACCATGGAAGGAGAGGGGCTCGACCCCCCCATCGCCTGTGCTGCCTCTGCTGGACTCGCTTCTCATCCCTCTCAGTGAGTGTTGGTTTATGGGGCGGGCAGCAGTTGCCAAGGGGTGTGCGAGATGAGGGTTGCAGGGAGCACAACTGCCCCGGGTAGAGGGGCTGGTGCAGGGCTGCCCTTCCTCTCCCCAGCACGTGCAACGTCTCCCACCAGGGCAGGGCTCTGGGCTGAGCACTGAGCTCATTGCTTGTGTTGAAAGTGTAAACTGTACAGCAATCAGCCTTGTGTATATGAACCAATAAATACTATGCAAACCCCTAGGGACACTCTAGCAGTATGTACAAAGCACTAACAGCTCCGCTCCCAAATACCTCTTCAGGCTGTCAGACAGGCAAAACCTTTGGAGTACGTGAGCAGCTCTGGTGAATGGAGCTGGGAAGCTATAGGAGTAAAAGAGCAGCAGACTGCCCCTGCCCTGTGCCCCTCTGGCTGAGCCTGGTCCCTTCCTGGCCTGAAGAGAGGGGCCCACAGGTGCAGTCCTATGGGCCTGTCCATGGTGCAAGCCCCAGTTTGTGTTGGCTCCAGCTGGGGTGAAGCTGTAGGCCTGCGCTGAGGTGCTTGAGGCCCAGGGACAATGTAATGAGACGGGATGCTTGTGCCACACGCGGGGTTGTGCCTAGTTCTACTCAGCACAATATCTGCTCAGGAGATGAGCCAGCAGCTGGCAGGAGCCAGCAGCCCTGCACTACGCATGCCATGCAAGGGCTTTGCAGGGTCCCCTGGCCTCCCTGCGAGGGCACAAATGAGCATAGCCCATAGACCCCGTGGATGCTGACCCTCCCAGGACCAACCCCAGAGACATGGGGGGCTGCTCCCCCGGTGGCTGCACTTTGGCCAGGTGAAATGCCCTGCTGTAGCAGCCTGGACCAAGCAGTCACCCTGGGAGCTAGGGCAGCCCCGGGGCCAGCTGCTCTAGCAGGAGAGCAGTCATGGGCAGAGCTGCCCAGGCAACTCTGAGGTGTGTGGTAGGTTGAATCTGCTACAGTACTTGACCCCAGGAGGGCCAGATGCAGGTAGTGGCAGTAGGTCCCATGTCCCCGACTCTGTCCTTTAACTAACCAACATGGGGGCCTGGTCTTTGTAGCACAGTGGTGTGGGGAGCCCCTGCTCTTTCTCCTGGAGGTGGCCATGCACCTGTTTTGCAGGGCCTGAGTTTGCTTTCTGTGGCCACGTGCAGAACGAGCCCACCTCCAGCTTCAGGCTGGTGGCCCTGGCAGGGCAGCCCTGTCTCGCAGTGGGTGCGCATCTGCTGGGAAAGCCCCTGGCTCCCCTGCAGTTGGAAGAAGCCTAGCTGCAGCGAAGCAAATGACCCAGCTTAGCCTTGGAGAGCAAAGCAACCCCTTCCCCACCCCAAAGCCATATAGTCACAGACTCTCCATCCATCACCCTTGCTGTGTACAATAACTAGACCCACTGCGACAGCTGACTCCGTAGCATCACTGTAGAGTTGTGTGTGGGTCCTGTGCTTTGGCCTTGTATACACCTTAGGGAATGTGCTGTGCTGCAACCGTGCCAGGCACCTGCAGTGACATTGCTTTGCGCTCAGATTGCTCGTAGGGCTGGTAGGGGGAGGCTGCACCCAACATTGAGCCTAGAGAATGCTGCAGTCTGCACACTAGAAGCTTTTTAGAAGTTTTAAAAAATTACTTTTATTTCCTTTTTTTAATTGTTACGGAAACAAGCCTTTTGGATCTCCCTGTCTTAGCCCCTGATGTATAGATCATTTCCCTGTACACCAGCTATCAGACTATGAATTAATAAAGAAACCAACACAGACCATGTCTCGTCTCTGCTTTTCCATGGGTGCGGGGAAGACCGAGACTCCAGGGTGCATGGCCGGGTGGGGTTCCCCTCTGCCCGTACCCGGTTGCTGGGAGGGCAGGGGGCAGTCGTGGGGGCTGGCAGCTGTTTGTGCTCAGCCGTTCATGGGGGAGGCCAAAGGGTGCAGAAACGCGCGCACCCCCAAGCAG